CTGGGAGGTGGGGAAGGATGCTGAGGAGATGCTACTGCAAAAGCAGCTGGGAGACAGGTCCTGGGCCGGTCCTGGCCCCAGCAGGACAGCCTGGGGACGGAGCGCACGGATCCCGCAGGGTGTTAGGGCTGGTCTCGGGGGTAACGTGAGCGGCTGCCAGCGGGAATCGCCCCAAAACCTGGTGCCCACCCCAGCCCTCGCCCCTCACCTTCCTCCCAGCTCTCCCATACACGAATGAGAGCCACGAGCTGCCCTGTTCGGTGGCAGGACCCTTCGGTTTGGTTTTTGGGATGCAAAAGCCAGGAATTCCCTGTGCAGTTTGGGCTCTCCCCAGCCCTGAAGCTCCTGGGGAGAGCCAGTACAATCCCCTCTAGAAAACAGCCCCGAACGGGGCATTTGCATAAGCCGTGCAAAGCAGGAGCGCATGGAAGCGCGCAGGCAGGTCATTTGCTTCATCGTGCGTTATTTCCCCTCTCCGTTTATCTGCCAAGCAAACGTTCAGGAGATAATTTATTGGCTGACAAATTCAGATAATTTAAAGACAGATCCTAGGACATTTGCCATCTCGTGGTTTCAGCTGCCTATACCTTGGCCCTGAAATATTGCTTGTTTAAATACTACATTACTATGAAGATGAAGAGATCAGCGGTTTGCAGGACCTGCTCATCCATTTCCTGGTGCCAGGGATTTCTTGATGTGATCAGGAAAGATGAGGAGCTCTCGGCTACCCAAGGCCATGGCCACGGGCAAGTTTTCCTGCATGCCCTCGCTGCATACCAAGCTCCCACCGACGCATTAGCCACAAGGCTCCTTGGGGAAGCTGCAAGGCCGGAGAGGTGGCCCCAAATCATCAGCTGAACATTTGGGGGATGCCTACAGGGGGGAGGACACAGAAGCACCATCCCTCTTGTCCTCAGTGGTGAAAGGGGGAAAGAAAACCCCTCAATGATCAAACTTTCCAGGCACAGCCAGGACCATCCGCCCACCGGCAACGCCACAGCTTCCCCAGACGTCCCTCCCAAGGGGACGGGGGGACACGCAGATGTCCCCGAGTCCTGCCACGTCGCAGCCCGCGAGCCAGCGTGTCGCTGTGTTTGCAGCCGGTGCCAGGCAGGCAGTAAATCTCTCCCACGTCTCAGTAAACACGTCACCTCCTTGAGCCTCCAGCCATCACCTCGGCGGCAGCGCTGTCAGCGAGACAGATCCCCCGTTGCCTTGTTTACTGCATTAATCCCCACAAGCCTCTTTTAGCTGGAAATGGCCAAAAACGCAGCATTCCTCTGCAACCGCCCCCGCTTTTAGCCTGCTCAGGTGAGGCAGGAGCTGCTTGCACAGGAGCAGGGATGCGCCGGTGGCTTCACGCCTTACACGGGACAAAGGTGCTTCTGCCAAGCACCCAGCGAGAAAGAGGCGGTTGTCCAAATGCTGCAAAACAATGCCGAATTCAGCCCCAGATCCCCAAATCTGGGTGGTTTTGTACCCACAGGGGACGGGGCCACGGGAAGGGAGACGTGCAAGAAGGGTGCACGAGAGGGAGCAGCCCTGGGAGCTTTGCACGGGGACCGTGCCCTCGCGCACGCACAAACCAAGCAGGCTCCACACGCTTCCTGGAGCACACGCGGCCCATCGGGATGCACAAAAGCGTTTTTGTGCGACACTCCTGTCCACTTTTAAGCGAGCCGCCGCCGTCAGGAGCCCAGCAGATACCTGTGCCCGCACAGGCGAGCGGCTCTGCGTCGCCCACCTTCGCGCTGGCGTTTCTCCAGCCTTCCCCAAACCCCCACCCGGCTTTGATGCTTAGTCCAAAAAAAAAAAAACCCAAAAAACCCACACTCGCAACCGAGACCACCACGCACGGAGCGTTAATTGCCACGTAGCTGCCTTGATCTGGGCTGGCAGCTCCGGAGCAATAAGGACACGGCTGAGCTGAAAGACCGTAAGGGGAAAGCAAGCAAAGCTGTTCTAACGCCTGCCTGGGCTCTCTGCCATCGCCTTCTCGTCCCTGAGCACCCCACGCGATACGGCAACACGCACCCAGGCGCGCCTGCTCGCCCACAGCATCCCCACAGCTCTTACTGGTGCACTTCTTGATGCTGCTGCCCTTCTTCAGCGCGTGCCGGCTCAGCTTGCAGTGGAAATTCTCCTCCCAAAACTCAGCGAACCAGATGTTTCGGCGGTTGTTGTCCAGCGTCCTGCTGGAGAAGTAGCGGTCGAAACCTGCCCGGGGAAGAGGGGACGGAGGGGATAAACCTCTGGGATGGCAGAGAGATGCTTAACACGGCCCGAAACTCCCCAGGCAGAGGGGAAGGAGGGTCTCGTGAGCGACGGGGTCTAGGGACACGTAAGAGTGCGGTGGGTTTGTGTCTGAGCTGCCACTTGGGCAAAGCTGCAGGCTGGAAAACCTGCTCAGAGAAGACACACTGCAAAACACGCTGTTTTTCACAGCCAAAACCTTGCAGTGAAGAGGATGCCATCGGGGAGGACTGCCGGCCCAGCTGAGGGAACCCACCGAGCGCAGTCCCTTACCTTTGACAGAGACCCGCTTGGGCAGGATGGTGACGGAGCCCTCGGCCACCTCCTCCAGGTGCAGGACGGGGGAGATTTTGGAGCCCCAGCTGTCCGAGCCCATCCAGATGAAATGTCCCGTCTGGTTCGCCCTCTTGGCCGCCTCCAGCACCCTTCTGCGGAAAGAAGCAACAGGCGCTGGCGCTCGCCGGCACCGCGGGGCCGGGGCACCGGCCTCATGGAAGCGGGGATGCTGGCACGGGGCAGGGCTCAGCGCTGTTTGCCTCTCCTGCTCCGGGCGCTCGGTCGGCACCAGGCACCGTGCGTGACCCGGTCCACGTGGATACGTGAGAGCAAACCG